CGGAATTTCGACAAATACTTCGAATATAAGTTGTAGGTGATACTATTACCTATAAAAAATTTGAAATCACTATAATTTTAGATTTTTAATAGTAATAGGAATCTGTAATAACAAATTCAACATGCCAGCATTGTTTAGGTGTATGGCCTATACATCCTTAAACATAGGTCTCGTCGACTCGGACCGCGGAATCGGAGAGACCTGTGTGGGAAATATGTAATCACACTCGCTGCTACGTCCTTTTTGGCGACGCGTGATCGAAGAAAGTCGAGAGTAGGTTTCAATGGAACAACGTTCCTACACGCTCCTCTTTGTTGGCCGTTGTTTCTCAAGCGACGTTCTCGTGGATGATCGCGGCTACACGGTAACGATGGGATCCCGGGGGATTGGGAACAGGGTCGAAAGCGTATATATTCCGCGTTATACTCGTGATAATCGAACGAATTAATTATTTTCATTCGATTCGTCTGAGAACGTTCGACGACGATAGAGGTAGAGGTAGGTACATGTGGACGCGTGTTCAGGCCGGGCAAAAGTCGTCTGTTTCTCCTTGTCACGTGGGTGATAGATGCACGCGTGAGAGACGTCTCGGTGTATGTTGGTAGGCTCCCGCGGCCGAAAGCTGCCGGTAAACGGCCTCTGCAGAATGCAGAGTCGCGTTTCTTCGTTTGACGAGACGGTAGTTTCTCCCTTCCGAGAGGCCTGCTTCGGATCAGGCATCCGGCTCGCGGATATATTTACCGTCCGGTTCAAATCATTCCACAAGGCCTGACCTGACCGCCGTCCCGCGCACTCGCCTCGTCTCTCGCGTCCTTCCCCGTCATCGTTGCTCTCCACTTGGTACTGAAGAACGATCTGTGTACGTACGAGTCACAAATACTAGATACGGCCGCGTGAATAGTCGCAGCCGCTGCTCAGCGATCCTTTCCTTTGTATTTTGCGACATTTATTACGAGAAACCAGACGATACTCAACAGTCTCTAGGCTGCTCTCAGCTAATTGTATCAGCCTGGTAAAGTCGGTCGCGCGTGACACTAAGCCGGTGCCGTGTCACGATCGGACAGCACGATGTTTGTTTAACCACCCTTTAAACGCAGCCTGCAAATAACTTTACGGGTTGTCCGAACTCGTGCCGATGGTTCGCCTCTGCGGAGATGGAATGTTTTTATCGCGGTGTAATTAGACCGCGATATCTTACTCTAATCTTACCGAAATTCGGTGTGGCGATGGGTAAATACAGGAGAGCCACGACCATGCGTATTGATCGGGGGACAGACGTGTTCGTATGAGAGAATTTTCATTCAGTCGAATTGCTAAATTGGCTGCGGTTCACCGGTGATTCAATTTTACAGTTACGATGTACAACATTATTTTCTTCGTTTGGCTATTAATACCATCGGACCCTTGGAGAAGCAGAGAGCGTCCTCACGCGCTCCAATTAGAGCGTCTCGCTTTTTCTCAAGCTCTTGAGGCGTCCTATGCACTCCACTTTTATAGCTCGGGGACGTATTTGGACCTATAGGACGTGCTCTCTATATCGGCTTAAACGTTTAAAGCCGCTGGCGGTTCGAAAAGATCCGGAAAGGTCGGTCGATTCGTTTGAAAGTGTACACGTTTAAGAAGGTACACGTGAAAACGAAAAAGGAACGGGACAGCGTGGTTGGCAGCGTCCAGACAGGATCGAATATGCTGCAACGCCGAATGGGACGATTGAATTGGAAATGATTTAAGTTCGGAGGGGTCTCTGCGCGGATTTCTGGCTGCTGTCGAGAGCGCTGTATCGCGTCCGGGTTACATTGACCCATGGCGCGTGAAGGCGATGAAAATGGACGGAGTGAACGCGAGTGGATTCGTCGAGCGCAGCACACGTGGCCTCCCGTGCGAACCCCTCGAAGATCGTTTCGCTGGGGGGCGACCCCACCGTGCGCACGTCATTGAGTCATCGAACACGTTCACGGACCGTTTTCGATTCGCACGAAGACGAGAACGAGATCCGATAATTTCTCCGCGGCAGAAAAAGCCGCTATCGTACTCGATGACAATTGCGATGCCTGTTCGCTCATTGACAGTGGCACGTCGCGTCTACGGCCCGGAAATAATTACTTTTCACGTGACGTGGTCCCCCACGATCGGTACGCTGGTCTCTGTTTCGTTTTACAGAGGAAGCTCGAGCCGGTCGAGAATAGACGTCGTAGGTCAGGTCGCTTAGGAGCGAGTTTGTGCGTGGAAGACGAACCACGTTCTTCAGGGTCGAGAAAAAAGAGTCGGTGGTGGTCTTCGGAAAATGTGTCTTGTTGGAGGGCTCGTTCGTCGTCCAAGTGGCGCGACAACCGAAACCACTTTTCGTCCTCGTCTGTAGCACGGCGTAAAAACTAATATCTACTTACGTTGACTCGAGCACGAACAATAGAGGTTTATCAGTTTGCACAGTTTCTGTACGGTCGATGCGTGTATATATTATAATTAGGACGTTTCGCGAAGCTGTCACCTTTTTCGGCCACGTCTTCGGCGACGGAGTTTCGTCGGCGTGTGTGATGCAATTACGTGCTCGCATCATCGCGAGGATAGTTGACTCATCGGGGAAGGATCAGTCCCACTTTCGCGCGAAATTCGTTGGCATAATGCAATCGGGGATTTTCGTCAGCCTCGCCGCGAGCGTCGAGGAATTCGCATAGAAAGTTTTCAGCGGAATCGCCAGAACGTTGTTATCGAACGATCTCCCCTTCCAAGATCCAATTCTCTGGATCGGATGCAGAACGCAGAACGCGTTACCGTTCGTAACTACCTTCGCTTCGACGCGACGACTACACCGAGAGCAGCTGGAATTCCCAGAAATTTCGACCTTTTGCCATCTACGTAGTCGAGCCGGAAATATTCTCCGTTCGAAATCCGAAACAGTCGAGAGTTGGATTCGATCCAAGCAGCGGGTAAAATCCGAATCGAATTCTTATGGGTAGAGAAAAATAGAGCCCCGTGACATCCTGTTACCTATTTATAAATCGACTCACACCGTCGTATGATTTCTCGCGTACATCGTGTCATCGAAATTATCATCGTGCCTCGACGGTCTCGAGCCACCCTGTCGTAGTCGAAATTAGAAGAATGATTCACACGGGCGAAGAATTCGATTTTGCTGGTCGAATCGACCGAGTACTTTCACGCGAGCCCATGCAAATTTCACGTTGCGTTAATTTCGTAGAGGAGCGTCGCGTCGTTCGTCTGAGAAAATATGAACAATAATCATCGACCGAAGTGTTGGACGATTATTGTTACAGGGAAAGAAACGTCGGCCGGTTTTCGCGTTACGCGCGATACGTAGCTACCTTATTTGGTTTCGTCTTTGTACGGGTCGCGGCACGAAATTGCATAAAAGGTTTCCCCCACGATGTTCGATTCTGGCCGCGAACGTCCCTGAAAAATCTGTCCGTGAAATGGAGGGTGCACGAGAGTAACACGCCGTGGAAAGAGGGTCCGTCGCGTTTCCGAGCTTACGAATCGAGACTCCGCTCCTTTTCCTCCCTTTTAGAACGCATCGGCTCGTGCTTCTGGCTAGAACGTGGATCTAAATGCGACGCCGCGATACTCGTGAGTTTTCACGTTTATCTGAATCACGGTCTAATTTCACAGCCCTTTTACCACCTGGGGAATCTCGTTTCACCGCGGGCGAGAAACGACTTTAACACGACGTAGACACGACGAAAATCGAACCGTGGCCCCGATGTATCTTGGTCGATGTCGAACAGATTTTCACGAACGGGGGTGAGTAGTGCGTCCAACGTTATCGGAACACCGTTTCGCCTGCATTGCGGGCAGCTTCGCTGCCGTCTGACGAGGATCGCAGCGTCACGACGACTCGCGTTAAAACTATCGACTCTGTAATTACGTGGATCACCGTCAAAACGTCTGATTCAGTTGGGCGAGTCGACGGATTTCACGCGTCAAGGGTGACGCGTGCACGTTATCTCGGAAAAGAGAGGAATTCAGTGGCCATCGTGTTCTCTGTTGTCTCTGCTCGAACTTTATCGATGACGATCGTGTACGTGTAGTAGAATGGCCGAGTAGGAACGGCATCCGACCGTGCGCGAAGGCGCACGTGGCCTCGTTAACAACGGATACACGTTTCGCTGAGTCGGGGTATGGAACTTTGGCGACCACTCTTTTCCTTCCCCGTATGTTTTGTTAATTGCATACGCGGCGATCGAGCGGCGATCGAGCGGCGATACCGCTCCGCCCTCCGCTTTTGTTCCGTTCGAACGCTCTTTTTGTCGTCCAAGAGACGGTTCGGCCATCCGGTACAGTGACTACGACCAATACTTACTTGTATCGATCGAGTTACGATGTATTAAATGCCGCGGTGCGTAATAATTAAATTTGCGGATTTGCCAAAAGTTTATCGTCGCGATCCTAGGCTGCATCACGACCACTTACCGACGTGTCACCGACGATTAATCTGATCGAACGATAAGATTAACGACGGCTCGTCAGGTGTGTCTCGTCGTCGGTGGTCGGGTTTCTCCTGAAAAATATTTTCTAAACGTGATCCGTCCGGTGTCTCGATAAACACGTCACGGTTTTATCGGTGTAATCGCTTTATTCGATACTTTTGTCTCTACACAGTCGTAGTAAGTAAATACATAAAATTCGCTGTCTACGCGTTGGTGAACTGGCAGAGTAGTAGAACGCCGTTAAAATTGTGAACCGTGTTGCCACCACTCTCGTCGGATCGCCCGTTCCGCGACTATTTGTATTTCTATTCCCTTCCGACGTCGATCGAAAGTTACTCGCGTGGGATTTGTGTAATTTCACTGGTACGCCGCGACCCATTTCTAGCAGAGAAACCTCGCGACCTCCCGACAGATGTTCCAACGACTGCCCCTCGCGTGCCCCTCGTACCATCCGACGAGATCGCGAATATCGAACGTTCGCCAATGATTCGCCACGACCAGCTCACCCGACGGTCGTGCACCGTTCCCCCGTGCACCGTTCCCCCGTGGAGCATTCGTTCCGACCGAAATGTGAATAAAACTTCACCCGCCAACTTTCACCTTCGTTTTACATTGGCTCGGCACGATTTTCACGAAACGATCACCGTTCACAGTCCTGACCACGAGCCCGGGATTCGCGTAGCACCTCTTCACGATCTTCTCGTCGTACTCGACGGTGGTCCTCGTTCCTCCTCTCTTCTCCGATTTAATCGAATCGTTCGTCCTCTCTTCTCTCTTTCCGTTCGACGCGTTCTCCGCTTCTTCTTGGGTCCTCTCTCTGGACCTGTCCTCGACGCTGACGTCTCCGCTCGCCTCTTTTTCTTCTCTGGTCCTCTTCTTCGAGACTTCCCTCGGGCCACCGTCGAACCTGACACGTCCTCCGTCGCCGACGTACTTCATTTTGCCCTTGATCGATCTCACACCCAGAACGACCCGTCCACCATCTCCGGTGTACTCGACGTCGCCTATGTTTTGATCGATTCTGAGCCGACACCCATCACCGATGATTCTCACCATCCCTCGGTTCTTCGACACGACGACGTTGCATCCGTCGCCTGTCACCTCGAGGATCTGTTCGTTCGAGATTAGTTTCAACGAAATCCCATCTCCGACGATTTTTCTGACCCTTTCGTCCGCGCCCATCTCTCTCTCTCTGTGTCTCTGTGACGATGATCGCCTTTTTCACACACGTTGATCTACCAGTGTAATGGAGCGGAGATGTTTTTCTGTAAACCGAAACTGCGAGATGCGTCTTATGCAACGCGTCAGGATCGATTACTCGGGCGGGAGTCGTCTGCAGTCGTCCACCGAGTCGATGATCACGACGAGATTTCAATGGCTCGTTTAGTGTTGCAAGTCGATCCGCGAATAATAATTGCCCGAACGAGCCTGACGTCGCCGATTCTCCCGAGAAGGTCCGTCAGATTTAACAGCGTGATCTCGTGGTACGACGAGGTAAGCGAAATCATTCGATGGTCAATCTGGTCTTCCTACGAAATCCTCGTTACACTTGTCCTATTGTTTCGCGGCCCTGGATCACTGGATTCTTCAGGTTCCTCGTAGTTCTGAAAAATAAGAAACGTTCAGGTCAGTGGCTTGGAACAGTTTTAACGGTTTCCCGTACTTCCGATATATTACAGTGACTCAGCTCGATTTTCTTCGCAATTCACAAATTCACTGGACGTTCCGCCTCGTTCCACTGTTTTCTAAATCTGTCTAGACCGTCTTCCTGTCGCTGTGCCTGTTGTCCCCGTCTTCTCTCAGCAGCGAGTCGTGTGGGTCGTTGGTCGAACGAAACGGTGACTGAGATCCCGTAGGCCGTAGGCCTTGTAACACTCGACGAGCTGCACGAGCCGTGCCACCGGGGTTCCTTGGTCAGTCGGCCTCGCCGCTTTCGGGACTTCCCGCAGACCGTCTCCGCACGCGGACACGTACGCTGTTTCCAAAGTTCTCTGTCGTTTCACATCACGCTCTCTCGATATCAGGAGTGTCTCTTGCAGCTGACAGATCTCTCGATCCATTTCGTTTTTCCACAGCTATGAGCACCAGTGAAACGTACGCGAAATAAAATTAAAATAATTTAAGTAGAATGCGATAAAGAGCAATCTTACGCAATTGTTCGCCGAACAATCATATCGTACAGCTGATCTGAAAAAAATGTTTTTTAAACTGTATCTGTGCGCGATTCGTGACAACGCTTTCTCGTTTGTCATCCGCGATACGTTCGCGTGGAGTAGGGAATAATCGTTCAATGACGACGCGAGTTAGAACGCCATCGACTGTTTGTGCGAGCAGACCTTGTCCGGAAGGGGGAACACCGTGCGATGACGCTATCTTCCTGGTCAATTACGATTCAAGTACGTAACGGCCAAGAGACAGGGAGAGAGGTGATAAGTGGAGAAAGAGATTATGTAGGAACCGGGGGTTATGGGGGACGAATAACTGTCGCGACTAGGTAATCGCGCTCGTGATTGCTCGTCAGCGTTTCGACGTCGTCGTCGATTATCTGTACACACGTTTTGCCGACAATTTCACCGTAGACAGAACGCTTCGCTCGGTGAGGAATTGTCTTGCCCCGACTTCGATCGTTGCAGCTTCGATGGTCGCGACGACACCTCGATCATCCTCTCCAGAACCAGAGACTCGGAGCCCTCCCTTTAATTTCCCGCGTACAATTGATCGCGAAACCAAGTTTTCGTCTGGCGCTCGAAAATTACTCGGTCCCTCCTTCCTTCACGTGTTTCACTTTCTCCGATCCTGGAACCACTCCCGGATATTACTCTCGCTGATCGAATAATGGACACGTCCGATTGCCCGTTCACGGTCAACGTCTGGATTTTAATTGCCCCGTCGATTCGTGGACCGTTCCGCAAACAGTCCTGTTCTTCCGTGTTCTCGCATAACGCAGTTCTATAAAACTTTCGTTGCAGAATGGCAATCGCGAAATGAGCGTGTCGCCTGGTAACGAGCAGCAGCCGGTCCTCGAGATGGAGAAGGCTCCTCTCGAGGACAACTTCAGCCTGAAGGTGTCGACGGTGCAGAACGTGGCACGGCAGGACTCGGGCGTACCAGAGGATCTCGCGTCGCCGTTGGTCGACGCCGGCAAGCTCCTCGCCGAGGAGGATTTGGACGGAACGATGAACAGCGAGTGCAACGTCACCGTGATCCACGTGACGTCCGAGACAGTTAAGCCCACTGATTCGACTGTGAACAACGACAGGAAGGATTACGCCAGTGAAGGGAAAGACAGCAAGGACGGGAGCGACAGCGGCGTGGAGGGCTGCACCGTTGAAGTTCCCAGGGTGAGGATCGATCTGTGGGTAGATAGACTAGTTACGTTGAAACTGCCCTTACGTCCCAAAGTATCGTCCCGCGAGGCACAGCGCGTTCGTTGCTGCACTCGTTCGCGTTTGCACGAGAAACGGTGAAGGCCGTCGTTCTTTTATACACAGGACGACCCGTTTCGTTCCGTAAATAGATTTTTCTGCGAAAGTACCTTCACTGGGTCGGGGCGATTCAAGGGGATCGTTAGTAATTCATACGCGAGAAGAACCGTTGGTTCAGGCGTCGAGGATACTACCAGGTAGCTTTCACCCGATTCCAAAGACCAAACAAAAAGATACAAGCGTATGCTGGTCGTTTTTGTCGTCTACTTCAAACGGACGTAACGAAACTGATCGGAGTAATTATTTATTTCCTGTATGGTTGCACCTCCGTTCCTTTCAGGTGCGAAGTCGAAACAGCATAGATTACGCGAGCAGCTGCGGCGGTCTCGACGAAGCGTCCTGCGACTCTAGTCTGGTCAGCTGTTGCTCGGTCTACGAGGATCCATGCGCCACTCTGCCGGACGACGTGCGCTTGGTCAACGGCGGAGAGGGTACCAGCGAAGGTGGCAGCGAGAGTTCCTCCGTAGCGGGTAGCGTGTCGGCTCGCGCGAATCGGACGAACGTGAAGAGAACCACGGCCGCTTCCAGCAGCAGTAAAAAGAAGACGAGCGCGGTCGAGGCTCAGAAGTCAGGCGCCAGAACGAAGCCGACGCCGCTGAGTACTCCTTACTCGTCCGCTACTCCCCGTACTAAACCACGTACGGCGACGCCGAGAAACGTTTTGATCAAAACGCAAGCGACGCCGAGGGACAGAGCGAGATCCAGGGACAAGTCGGCGGCGAGGGAGACCAACAATGACGCCGGCACGCCGAGTAGCAGTCGGACGTCGACGGCATTCCGTTCCGGGACAGCCTCCATACCGCCGCGAACGAGAACGAGACCGATCCCGGATTCACTGCCATCCGTGCTCACCACAGAGATCAACAAGGACCTCGCGCAGCGTGGTGCTCGCGGCCAGACCGGAACCTCCAGGTCCAGGGGCGGGTCTACTACGCGCGGTGCACGCACACCGAGTTCGACGCCGTCCGAAGAGGTCCGTAAACCTTTGCCCACGCCCAGGGTAGTACCTTACACGGGTCGCACGGAACCTCCCCGAGCTTCCAGAACGGACAGGATGACTTTGGGCGCGGACAACAAAGCTTTGGACGCGTATGCCACGCTGCCCAGAAGGAACAGAAACAAGATCGGCCTGGCGAAAGTCGGTGACAAGACAGACAAGACCGCTAGAAGCAGATCCGGGAGCAGAGACGCCAGTTTGAGCAGGCAGGCTGAGAAGAGGAGCGGCGGCGCGAGGGAAATCTCCGGGCAGAGATGTCTGCCGCCGTATCCTAAACATAACAAGACGGCCGAGAGGACGCGTATTTATCACGAGATTAGTGTGCAGACTGGTTTGACCGGTGACGACATCGAGAACGCATTGTCCGGTGTACCGAGCGCCGTTCCCGGGCCGGATGTGGTCGAGAGGCTGCACGAGGAGTGTCAAACGGAAGGCACGTGGGAGGATCTGCAGGCGATGCAGTGCGACTTGAAACGTTTGAACGAAGAAACCTCGAGTCGAAAGGAGGAGAACGAGAAGCTGAGAGCCGAGATCGACCAAGTGAAGCGTCTTCTCGAGGAAGAGAAGGCCGATCACGCGTTCGCGCGACAGGAATTGGATAGAAACGCGCAACGCGTACTGGCGATGCTGGGAACGCCGCAATCGGAACACGCGGGTGTGTATCGACGTTTGAATCGTAGTAGACGCTTGGTCTGTCACTGACTGGACGGCGAGGAATGAACGTCGAGTGAATGGTTGATTTTTAGAGGGCAGCGACAGTTTCCTGGAGTTGGAGTGTCACTTACAATCGTCCGGGCAAGTGGTCGCCAATCAACAGTTGGAGATAGCTGACTTACAGTCCCTTTGTCGCATGTTGAGCAGAGTAAGTAACGTCACCACGCTCTTCTTTTCGCGTTCCGATCGAGTCGGGGGTTTTCGATAGTGATGTAACACCGTTTTGCCGACTGATCAAGGATCTGGAGAAGAGCCTAGCTGCTCAGAAAGCGTTGCTGCAACAGCAGCAGGAGCTGGAAGCGGAGTCCGCCGAGATGCAAGATTTTCTCCAGGAAGAGAAAGCTTCACTGGCAGAATCGCTGAAAGAAGCCGAAGCAGAGGTATGTCTTTAATTTTTCACTAGCACAGGAACGATGACAACGTGCGATAATTTGTAACGCGACTACTCTTCGTAGCTTGCGAAGACAGAGGAATTGGTGAGAAAACGAGAGCTGGAATTGGAGAGACAAACCGAAGAGTGTAAACACTTGGTACGAATCAGCGAACAACGAAGGTAACGCTGTTTGTCAGAAGAAATCGTACTTTGGAACGTTTACATCTTTCTCATCGACGCCGCGTGTCTTTCGTTTGTCGACAGACAAGAAAATTTATCTATGAGCATGAAGTTGAACGCGGTGGAACGGCGAAGCAGAGAACTGTTGCTTACACAAGGTGCGGCTGTTTCCGGAGCTGCGGTCGCGCTTTCCGGTCTCGGAACACGGCTCGAAGGATTGGTGGATCAACTGATCACGTCCTATAACATCTCGGTGAAAGACCTCGAGGTAACGTTTCACTTCCCGTTCTGTTCCCGCCCTATTGTCCCCCGAGACTCGTCGGTGGTACGGCGTGTAACTGGAATTTCCTCGTAGGACGTGATATATCACAACGAAGCGTACAGTAGGAGCAACAGCAGCATCGAGTCGAGTCCTGTCAGCTCTAAGCACAGTCTGAAGGAATGTACACCTAGTCCGAAGAGTGGTTCGTTCGTCTCTGCGGTGATCGGAGCTATCCGGAACGCAGCGACGCATCCTTTCGCTGCGAGAAGCACCGATAAGAGAGCAACGTTGGAGTCGGCTAAGCAGATGTACAAAGGTACGCCGAGTTCGCACGGCGACGTAGAACATTTCATCGATACGAATCAGACAGCAGTTTCTAATTCGTCGATTCTCTTGTCATGAATCATTTAGAACTGAGCATGGAATCGTCGTCTGACCTGCTCGATTTCGAGACCGAGCCTTGTCTGATGATGGAGAGCGTGCTGGAAGACGTTCCTTTGCCCGACACGTACTCGCACAACATGGTATCGAGCAGCGATTCCCTTCGCCGAGCTCTGAGCTTCCCGGAAACCGTCGACGAGAGCAATCTGAAGAAGACGCGCGCCAACGAAGAATGTTCGAGTCTTACGAATCTCACCCAAGCCATTTTACATCGTCGCAAAGTAAGCGGAAATCAAAGAGAGTAGAACGACGACTGAACGTATCGCGGAGTCGATGGCGACGTGCGTAATTTTTTCGCAGGTCGAGAACGAGGAGGACGACGACTGCGACTCGATAAGCGAATCCGACACCGGCACGAACGACGGTCCGCTCGCCTCGGACTATTGTCCCGCCGCCGGCCTCGTGGACCAAGTGATCGACGTGGACAACCTTGTCACGAAATTATTGAAAGTGCTGCGAATTATACAGCTCGACAACGACACGTGCATACAGGAGCTGAAAGAGGAGAAGTAATTTCACGTTTATCGTCCGTGGATCGAGAGACGGCGTTGTACGAAGGGAGGGGAAGATCGTTGCAAACGTCTGGTAATTTTCAGGTCCGAGTTAGAAACGAAGTTGGAGACGATGATAGCGGAACTGCAGGAGCTCCGTAAAACCGTGGAGAATCTGCATCGGTCCGACGATATCCTGACCAATACGTCGGACAGAAGACGTAGCGTGATGGAGAACTGTCGCCTTCTTATCAAAGAGGTAATAGTCGGCGATGTTACCGACACGTATCTATGAAATGCGTCTGGTGTCGTTCTAAGAATTCTTTTAATCACCGATTAACTTTTTAAAAGAGATGTCAAATGGAATAATTCCTCTGTAGGCGGGTAAGGAGGAATTAACATTTGACGAGCCCGCAGTTGCTAATAATAGTGGCCCCGGAGGAGTTACAGACTGCGAGGATCTCAACGCGAACGCAGCGGCCCATCCTTCTTCCTAGATCGGTGTCCGTCTTTTCATTCTTCGTTTCGTTCCTCAACCCCAACCCCACCCCTTCACTCTTTGTTTTTTGGCAATCGTCAAAGGCCATTTTACCGGCGAGTGGTGCCGCTGTGATTAGACGTCAGCATTTTAATTTCTGCTTTTGCATCGAACTCGTCCATCGGTTTCTCGCGTCCGTCGCGCCGGCGTGGCAAATACTCGCGTGCGCGTTGCTTCGATACGTTTAGTTTCTGAGAGACATGTAAATAGTAATAATAACAATAATAATTATAATGATGATCATGATGATAGTAACAGTGACGAGTCTCCGTTCGTAATTGCGAAGCTAAATTCTGCATAGCCTGTAATATTCAGGCGTGGTTTCAACATAGTCGTTCCGAGGTACTCATTCGTCATCCGTCTATGAGAACTAGTAATTTCAACAATTATCGTTTCGCGTTATTATCACCGTTAAATCGATAGCTAGTTATTTCGCGTTATAAAACTGATTGAGATTAATCGCTTTTAAAAAAGAAGATAGATAAATGAATGACGTATAATTAATTGTATTAACTAATGAACCGTCTTCTCTTTCCCACCGGATCACGTTTTATCGTATTAGTAGTAGTAACGAATCATTTTCTCGAGAGTATTAAGTCTTGATGCATTCTTAGCGAGGACAGTGACCAGGTTTTCGCATACGTCGAAGAATTCGTTCGTCGAAGTTCATTTTTCTCGTCGATTTGAACGACGAGAGAAACAGAAGTATCAACAGGGTACGCTAGTTTTACGACACACGTTCACGCGAGGATCACATTGGCATGTACGAATCATTCGAGCCGAGCGATACTGTGTCCGATGTCGTGTCCGGGAATACTTTTCGTTCGAACGTGATTATTCACCGATAGAATTTATCAAAAATTATTCCCGAGTATCGTAACGAGAATGGGAAAACAGAACACGTCGTAGGCGGAATTGCTTTCTATTTTAACGATGAGATATATTTAAAGGACATATTCTTGTACACGCTTCTGTGAGTCACAATTTATCCGTCGTGTAATTTTTCGAAAACGTTGTGTGTGTATATATATATATGTATGTATCTCTAAGCAAGCATCGAGGAAGCTCGCGTTCTCCTTAACCTAATTACGTGCTACACTGACTCTTTTCGTATCATTTCTCTGCCTACCCCTTTCCTTCTCTCGACGGTAAAACTTGACTCGTGCATCGTTGTTACGATTGACGCGAAAGTGGTCGAATTTCGTTTTCACTCCTTCTCTTCTTTTGCTAAATAAAATGAAACGATTCCACCCGAACGATGATATATATTCTGACGATCATAGCCCTAAGCATTTTTTATACAAAGTATTGTGATGATATACCCAAAAAAAAAAGGAACTCGTAAATAATGTATTTTAATTTTTAATCAAATAAATTTCGTTTCGATGAGAATCACCCATTGTGTGTCTGCGCAAGTCTGTGTACCAAGCTCCAGAATAAGAAAAGGACCTGACACAGTTTGCTAGCTTTCCGAGTATTCTCAGCTCCGCTTGCAGTTCATTTCTTAGAGGAACTCGATTCTTGGAAAAGTTGTGCAAGGTAAACGCGTTGAGCATCGATGATGACAACGACGATGACGAGGCGGGGAGGATGAGACGAGAAGGCGTTGTACAATGTCTTGCAGCGGTAGAAATCCTTTATGCTTGGTGAATGCGACGTAGCAGTGGAATGAGGAAGTTCGCTAGGCGCAAGCCAGCCCTAAAACGAAAATTCGGCGTTGATACGATGACGATTCGCGCTTACGTCGAAACAAACCAGTAATAGACAAGAGTGAAATACAATCGACAGAGAGAAAGTATTGTTTTAATCGGGAGTAAACTCGAAAAAATACCTTTGTACCGACTTGGGTGCTGGCGACGGTTTAGGATCGTTCTCCGGTGTAGTCGAAGGTGGTTTCGGCGGACTAGTTACCGGTAAATTAGGTTTATTCTCGGCGGCAGCGGCGAGAAGAGCTTCGGCGGGTGCAACGACGAACACCAAACCGTCCACGTGGATACGATAATTCTCGGTACCGTTTTGCCGCTGATCGTAAAGATCGTCGGAAGCAGAGCTGTACAGAGGCGGCGTCGGCGGCGGTGTCAACGTCGAACTCGATGGATCCGTGATCGACGTCTCGTCAGCAATCGGCAGACACTGGACGGCTCTGAATAAATAGACCACGGCAAGTAGCAGCACTGTTTTGAATATTCTCATGTTGATCGATAGCATTGATGTCCGCTGCGTCGCCGAAAGTAATCGATGGCTCTTGGAGAGATCTACCGTGTTTTACGATCGGAAATATGAAACGTGTGAACGTCCCGATGATAAAATTACGGAACGATCGAGAATTGCGCGGAAGGACTCCCGCGGTGCTCGTTTAACAATTCGATGGAGAAAAAGAAAAGAAGATACGACGCCCGTGGCGTGTAGAGTCGAGCGACGAACGTCTTGACGATGCGGAGGATGAGCGAGGTGTGACGACGTCTCCTGCCGACAGGCGATCCTGGTCCCCACCTGGTACGGAAACAGATCGTCGGGCAAGTTCAAGAACCTGTGGGTCACCGTGCACGTTCCGCTGCGTACACAGCCGAGTAAGAGGTAATCGCCGATCGAGTCGACTTTTACACACTTAGTCGACACACACATATCTCGTTCCGTTTAATTCGACGATCACCGAACGTCGTATTAAACCGTTTCTACGTTTCCTATGTACAATAATTTCGATCATTTAAACAGAAATTGTTTTGCCCCGGAGATTCGGTCGCACCGTTACACACAGATGAATGAATAACGGGAGATCGGGTGAAAGAGATCGAATCGGTGCTAACGGGACGAACTTGCAGTAACGATATACAGCGATTGAGATCCTCGTTAGTGTTCGGACACGTCTCATCGATTACTATGGACGATCTGCGTTGGTGTGCACGCGAGAAGCATCTACTTACGTGTACGTCTACAGACGTGAGCACATACGGGACACCGATTCGTGAAGGGCAACGGCCTCGTGCGGCCCCACCGAGTTCGTTTCCCCGTTCCTCTGTCTCAGTCGTCGCTCATTACCGTAACCTTGCCCTTGCTCTTACATTTCCGCCGTGCTGCTCGAACCACGCTGACCGTCTTCCTGGTTCTCCTCGAACGGCTTCCGATGAACGCTCGATCCAAGATCCGAGTCGAGTATCGGTAAAAAGGTCGACGGATAGAAATCAATACGTCCAGACCGACTATTCTCGATCGACAATATTCTGTACGTTCGATACGAATGATGGTCGAGTCGTGAAATGGTATTAAAGAGATACTTTTGTTCGTACGTTTCGTTTATTCGTTTGTGCACGCGACGCAGTTACATACGACGCGAGTACGATGTAGACATGGCAATAAATACAATGTAAATGTATAAAAAAGGAAGCTGAATCAGGAGATCAAAGTTTCTAGCAGGCGTTTCGTGTACTACGAGCACGTAACCGGTTCCGAGTAGCTTCTTGGGGATGTTAATTGAAACTGGCGTCATCTTGACAGATGCCCGACCGGTCCCTGTATCTTCCGGGTCCACAGTTCTCGATGCCATCGCCGATTAACACCAGTTGATCCTTGTACCTGTTCCCGAATTCGTTCCTCTCTTCGGACGACGGGGCCGCGTTCACTTCCTCCTTTTTAGACAATTGTTTCTTCAACGATATACCCGGCCTCGTCACTTTAGTCGCTCCTTGCCTCGTCGGCGACTCGTCGTCCTCCGCTCGCGAATCTTTAACGTCGATCAGCTTTCCCTCTTCCGTCGAGCCATCGGCGAGTCCGCGTGCAGTCGGTTCGATCTTCCAGAGACTTCTGATCCTCTTTGTCTCCGTTTCACCGTCGATAGGCGCCTTCAAGTGCGATACTTCTTGCACGGTTTTCCCATCCTCCGATCTTCCGCCTTCGGAGACTACGGACGACGCTCCCGATTGAATTTTCTCGGTGACCTTGACAACTGACGTCTCGTCCATACGTTTAGTCGCGCCCGTACCATCCCCCTCCCTCTCCACGTGCACGATCTCGAGGTGGTAAGGCTCCCTGCCGTCGTCCGCGTCCTCCGTCTCGTAAACTACCGTCTCGGACGGCTCCTCCCGATGATTCTGTTGCTTGCTACGCTGCGAGATCAACTCGTTCAGCTCGAGCGCCTGCGACGCCAGGCTGCTGAACGGATTGCTGCTACCAGAAGTGGCGATAATCACCAAGAAATTCTCAAATTTCGCATCTACGTTCACCTCGCCGGTTTGCCGCTGATCGTACGTCGTCGGAGCCGCGTTTATTTCAGGGACAGACAGCGCTGCTGAAAGAATACGGGAATATAAAATTGAAATGCTGACTATACTATATAGATACACCGAAGAGATTGTCTGTCGTCTATGGGTCGGTCGTATTTAAATGCCTTCTACCTGACAGCAACAGAAAGCACACGTTGTACGACGTCATCTCGACGAAAACCTCCTGCGAAACGGATTACTCGAATCGGCCGATCCGAGCCAAGTCCGATCCTCGACTGTGCGGGAGATATTCGACCGCTTCCTCGCCGGGTATGGATCGCGACACGCGCTCCATCGTATATAGATCGGGAGAGTAAGTATCGGTGTTTGGAGAGGGTAAGGTGCGCCTCGTGTCGTCTGCCCGCCTGGCAATCGAACGGAGCTACTGTTCGTATCTCCGCGTTCACGTTCCTATCTCGTGGGAACCACGACGATTCGTGCGACGTTAATGGGCGACTACCTCGTCGTCGTCGTCGTCGTCGTCGTCGTCGTCGTCCTTCTCTCTTTTCGACGTGAAAATCGTGCGAAGCGTATTTTCTTTCTTTGGATCGGATGCAGGGTCGGGTTCATGGTCATTGCAAATTCGACGCAAGTACGAACGTATAAATTTATTACATGTCGGTTTTACGCAGTTGACGATATAAGTACACGGGTATATGTGTACGCATGTACAACGAGACGCGGTGTGAGTACAAACGAGTAGAACGACGCTGAACGATGGGCTTCTAACTTGAAATAAGTCGGCGAGGAACTTTGTAGTAGGAATAGTAGTAGGCGTACACGATTCTGATGTTCATGGCTTGGTTCACCAACTAACGAGTCCGATCGGTTCCCTTCTGTTGCACCGAATTCCTCGCGTTTAGACCTACCAGCAGATCGTCGAAAAGTCTCGGCGTCAATTTCATCGCCAATCTGTGAAACAAAAGACCGATTGCCGATAGTAGAAACAATCTGAGTTTCAAAGCGCTTTGGCAGGCATCACAGGAAATACTCACGGGATCAACGACAATCTTCGTTGACTCTGACGTCGACAACGACCCTTCCCGTCCGGCGAATATCCCGATCTACAACGTTTCCCAGGTAATCTTTTAGACGAAACGTTTCTAGACAGTTGTCCGTTAACTCGCCTCGTCGTTGCGTCCCATTCGTCGTTCTCAAACGGATCCGTAGTTTTCTCATCGATCCTCTTCTTCGACGTCTTCTCTTCGCCGGTCGTTTCGTTCGTTTGCCCGGCGTCGAACGAGACCGTCGTTGCTTCCTCGGTAGAGCTCGTCGAGACGTACGTTGAATTCTCGGAAAGAGAATCGGAAGTGTCGATGAGTCTATCGGTGGTCTCCGACGAGACCGACAGAGCTGGTTCGGTGGTCGTCGTAGTGCCGGTGGTCGGTTTCCCGATCGGTTTTATCGTGAAATCGGCATAATCGTAGATATAATCATACTCCTATAAAACAGGATCGCGTTGCTCTACTTGTAAAACGTTATTTTCTAAACTTAATCGATCGTTTCTATAAATTCTAATTGCGAGCTATAGTTTACATTACATTTTGCAGGCAGCTTTTTAATAGTAATAGGAATCTATAATAGGAAATTCAACATGCTAGCATTGTTTAAGTGTATGGCCTATACATCCTTAACCGTCGCCGGTGAAGACTAAGGGTGCGATGAAAATAGTTCCGTTTGTCGCGTTATCGTCGCTGGATCGGGTCAGTCTAATCGTAAACATCGCCGCCGAGGCCTCGAGATCGGCGATCGTCGTTTTACCGTGTAATCGTCGAGCAAATCCGTGTCCAATAACGCCAACACTTGCACATCCTTCAGATGGACCTGTACGTTGAGATCGCCGTTCTGTCGTTGATCGTAAGTGGTCGTCGGCAAAGACAGGCCAATCGCTATGTGATCGGCGAGCGCGAGGAGTAGGACGTAACGCGATGGGTACATGATCGAGAACGAGTGACTAACGAGACGCGCGATCAGCCGTGGAAAAATGCTGGAGGACCGTCGACGAGACACAGACTGACCGAGGCCCGGTTAAAACGGACAGCGTCATACCACGATGCCCTTCCTCGACACAGTGTTTGGTTCGGGAAACCGGTATTCTCTACCGGCGAACGGTCACGGGAGCCTCGAGCACAGTGACCTGGCCGGACGTTGGCCCCGTCCGCGTACCTACCGATGTATTACAAACGTACGCGTGCACACTGAGGCTCGATGCGAAACGATTCCGAGAAATCTGAACGAGCTCCGATAGAAACGCTTGTATGAGTGTCAGCATCCTCCGGCTTGACGCGGAGATCCGTAGCTAAAACGAGAAGGTCGTTGCGAGTATATAAAATTTTTTTCAAGTACACGCCGAGGAAAAGAAGGAACGTGTATCCGTTAAGCCGACGAATTTTGCATAGGAATCGGGAATATTGGCGGTGACGACGGAGCGCGACTGAGAGACGTGAGAGACGACGAGACGAAAGAGCCGGGCGAACATCACCGACTCGATCGACTCGACTGACTTTTATCCGTTATTATTACGAAATCTCACGGGATGATCGCGGCGGCGGCCGCGGTGAACGTGTATACAGTGAACTTTCTAAGAATCGGACACGAACGGCACGCCGCAGTGTCGTTAGAGTATAGAGGACGGCGATAAAATTATAAAAACGGTCGATTACGCAAGCCCGGTGTCATCGACGATGATGTCAAGCCTTTCGATGTTTTGATTCACGATCGCTCTTTTTAAACGTGCGCCGCATTCGTCGTGGTCGGGAATCGACGCGGACGACGATGTCTCGATGTCTGTGCAGCTCGTTCCGTGCGCGTATCGACGCAGAGACGCGGAGATCCTGAACGGAACGGAACGACAACGACGACGACGACGACGACGACGACGACGACGACGACGTTAATAATGCCTCGCTGAAATGTCGTGTGCCGTTTTGCCGAGTTCGCAGCAGTTCGCAGTTCGCCGTGTCGTTCGCCCGATTCAGTGGCTGGTACCGAGTCGAGGAATCGCGCGCATACTTTTTCGGCTGACCCCGGGACCCAGGACGAGACTAACAGTGGCGTCAGACCTTGAAGCGTTCGAATCATTTATCATGCTTCCTTCTAACGTGAACGATGTTCCAATTTTTTAAGAAGCCTGGTAACGTATACGTTCATCGCGGTCCGTCGATACCCCGAGGCGATCGCTCGCCGTTGTTCGCGTCGTAGTTTAACCTAAGCGTAGAACCGATGTACCTATCGTAATACCTCCTGTCAACGTCGCGAGCTCGAGCATACTTCTGAAAGGTCGTACCCGCGTTCGGTGGTTTCAGGACAGAAGGACAGGCCCGGATCTTCGCAAGTTTCACCCGCAAAATCGACCAGCTCTGGGAGGTCGTTCGGAGATGTGTACAACGACGGTACAGCGATTCAAGCGTCAACAGGTGCGTCGTGCACCCTTGAGGAGGAAGAGGAAGACCAAGCTCTCAACGACGGTGAAACGAAAGGAACGTGTTCCTTTAATTCGCAGCTCTCTAAGACTCTCCCGCAGATACTCGCGGACAAAGGTGCTCTAGGATATTTCATTCAATTCATGGAGACTCAAAACCGTATAGCACTCATTAAGTTCTGGTTGGAAGTGGAATGTCTGTGCGGTTCGTTCAAGGCCTTAGAGACTGAGACGGAGAACGTAGAATGCCTGAATTGCGTGAAGAGCAGAAACGAAGTTTTCAATCCGTTCGACGACATCGAGAACTTGCACCGCGACGCGACGCACGACGGTGTCGACGATCCCGATACAGACAATACGTTGTACAACGAATATGTAAATAGTAAAAACACGAAATCAAATTGCAACGACATGCCAAAGACTAAAGGGAGAGTGAGCAGCGTGCGAAGAACCAGCCAGAAATGCAGAAGAAGAGACGCTACTACCATTAGACAGGACGCGTTAAGAATATACAAAAAGTATATTACTAGGGATACGCTTGGTACGAATCGAATTCCAGAGGAATTGAAAGATCGAATGGAGAAGGCTTTCGACTGTGAAAATATCGAGCCTACGTTGCAGTGTCTGTCTGCTGTTCAAAAGACCGTGTATGAGACGTTAGAAAATGAGTAAGTACACGAATTCGTTCAATGTGCCACTGTATTCGGCAGAAGATCTTTGTAGACTTTAACACCGTTCTTCGTTTACAGGCACGTTAACGATTTCCTGAGGAGCGAATTTCACTGTAAACATCAGATCGACGTTCTCACAAGTGGCAACGTACAGTTGGCCGATATACTCTACGATGAAACTGCGTTTTTTTATTTCATGGAATTTATGGAGTTGGAAAGTAAACGTGAATTGTTAGACTTTTGGATGTCTGCTATGAGTTACAAACAAAATTTACTGGAGAAGAAGGACACCGAGACACCGGGCGAGGCACAAGCCGATGCTTTAATTATCTATGACAGGTACTTACTTGTTCCCTGGTTTTCTCGCGAGCTGCACATCGTGATTAGGCGATTTATATCGACCCTTTCGTGTGTCATTATTTCAGGTATTTCAGTTTACAAGCAACGAAGCCCCTCGGTTTTACCGATAAGATTCGTTTCCAAGTCGAGCAGAACATCTGTCGCGAGGACGGAGAGGGACCACAGCCCGATTGTTTCGACGAACCATGTAAAATTGTATATAATTTCTTGAACAAGGTAAACGTCGATCTTTTCGTCGATCGGAAAGACCAATTAACGTTCGTACAGTTCGTCTGGTCGTTGAAACTGATAAGATTCGCTCGGGTTCGAGCGTAGATAACGAAAGACTTTTTTCAGCATTATCTACCTAACTTCTTATCGTCTCAGTTGTATTACAAATACTTGTCCGAACTGATTGGTACGATACAGAGCAGTCCATGTTCAAATTTACATCTCAGGCTGAAACGAGCAGGTTCGTCGATCGTACTCTTGTCCGTCGTACGATTCGTGATGCCGAAATGAAACGCTTCCAGGTTCCGATTGCAGCAGCGAAATCAGTTCAGCCAGTATTAATATGCAGACGCAAAACACCCTGCAGGCGGGGAACGAAGGGAGTAAATTGAACAATAATAACAACAACAAAAGAAACATCGTCGGTGGCATGAACATCGACACTAGGCAACTCTACGATCCAGACTCATTGTGGAAACGTAATAAATACAGGTAAATGCAGAAACTGCGAGATTTAAATTCTACCGCGTATCGTCCGCATCTTGTTTCTTCTTTTTAGTCTGAGCGTCGGCTATATCGACGATTTAGGCAGATTCATCACCGAGATAGAGCCTGATCCTCAAAGGAAGTACGGTGAGTCGTTTGCCAAGTGTCCGGTCGCGACTCCATCTGCAACGTAATTAATCGTGCAAAAAAAATTTTAGAATCTCGATTGACGCGTGCTGTGAAAAGGCTTGTACATATCGAGGAAGATAAGGTAAAGTTCATGTTTGCTGCGGTGAACCTTCCTCGCTTACCTGATTATCAATTTTGTACGATTAGGCCAAAGAGGAGTTGGCATGGAAGATTGCCGAAATGATCGTGCGCGAGATCACGTCCTTGACTCTTGGAGCTTCGAATTTTTCATCTTGATGACAGGCAGACACTGCGCCAGGCGTCGCTTTATTTTACTTTGCACTTGAACGTGAAGATATATTCTCCTGCCTTTTTTCGAATCGATGTCGCACATTCTATTGTCCAAGTGCCAAATTGAAAGTAGGTAAGCCTAATCGTTTCATCGTATTCAATAATCGAATTTCATCGATTGAAACTGTAATCTCCTTTTCTCAACGTTGAGATTATAAAAGTATTCTTTTCTCGAGTATTTTACGATATAATTATACTTTTAATACGACGTACGCACATCTGCATCGTGCAGAGACAGTGCACGGAGCATACTGTTTCGTTGTGTTCAGCGTGATCTACAAGCTGTTTTCAATTGTCCAACTGCCAAGTACTTCCCTAGTTTCACATTTTGTTCAAATCGAGGTTTCCTTGCTCGTTAATGTAAGACGTTCAAAGGAGAAAGAACGTTTTCCATGTGACAGACGAACGACACGACATATCGTGAACTATGATCACGATGCGCGAGTTGTAAACGTCGACGAATCGAGCGTGCTTTAGAGATATTGATAAGCTTTCCATGAGATCGTAGACATTTACTTGGCAGTGTAAGTACATAGTTGTAGTGGTACAGTGTAATAGCTCTGAGCGATGTATAATAATATAGCATTCAGTTTGTATAGTCGAACAATCTTTACGTAGGATCAGTATCGTGTAACTAGTATTAGCAGGTGATATTATTGATATAAGCGGTATTTTATCAAGATCGAATCTATTTTTAAACAAAGAAAAGAAAACGGACAAAGCTGTGTACTGAGACGATACGACAAAGATCGTCTGATGCAAAAGTTACGTCGTAGAAATATTGGTCGGTCGAGCTCAACGATGTACATCGAATACTTTCTGTGTGAGAGCAGAAGAACGAGTAGTAGTTTCACTCCGTTTCGCGTAGTAGTTTCTTCGCTAATGAATAATTTTCATAATACGTTTGGTGCTACATGCAGACGAGACTCAAACAGGCACAGACTCAGTAATCGTGACAGAATTTACAAAACGTGTAAGTGTTCGGGAAAACTAGATCGTTCGTGGATGGCGATGTATATAAGAATTTTTTATCAAAAGGAGGCACGTTGTCAAGAGTAAAATATGTTGGTCCGTGACATCTGTTCGGAAAGTTGTACGCGCACTATTTTCTGAGACAGCGTATTTTCTTAAGAGGTGCTTCTTCGACTGTGACGAAATAAATCAAATCCCACGTCTCTCACGCGTTCAATCAAAAACGATTAGCTGTATCTGTATCTAAATGTATTCAAATCTCGGTTAAGATTTATATTTTGTAATTTATTCGTATTAAAATAGTGACATAAGAAACGTTAGATATACGATAAAAGTATACTGATTAAACGTTAGTACCCTGTATAATACGCGTTCCTTTTCATCATTTCCACATTTGGTAGAAAATAGAATCTCTTATGATAGTTACAACAGTTAACAAACATGCTAGCCGAAGAAAATACGATACGGTAAGCCGTATCTTTTCCATAAAGCTCTTTACCGAGACGGTTGCTCGGCGTAATCTCTGAAACAAACTCACAATTAGTTTATGTCCACATACTTCAAACGATTGTGGGGTTGCTCGATGACGCCACGAGCAACCCCAAATTCATTTGAGATACGTGTATGTACTATTAAAAATCTAAAATTATAGTGATTTCAAATTTTTTATAGGTAATATAAATCACCTACAACTTATATTCCAAGTATTTGTCGAAATTCCGCGAAAAAAAAATTTCCGATTATTCCGAGATTTTTCCAAAATTTCGTTTTTCATCAATAACTCGTAAACCCTTGGAGATACGGGAAAATTGCATAGGACCTTTCTTATAGAGGACGACGAAATCTACAAGAAAGCAATTTTCCCGTATCTCCAAGGGTTTAGGAGTTATTGAGGAAAAACGAAATTTCACAAAATCTGAAGGGACACGTGAAGCTAACCCAAAAATTGCAGCCATGAACGCTAGATGGCGCCACGTGCACGCGACGCTAGCCTCAAAATTGCCGAGTTATGCACGCTACGTGGTGTTTCGACGTGTACGTATGAATAGCAATTTCTCTCGGGTCGTTCCCGCGTTGACAGAAAATAAAACGAACGGTCGAGCACGTTTTCTCTTCGAACCCTATTAAATTCAAGTATTAAAATTATAGATACGTTTAAAAGCGACGCGAGGCAGTGTGTAACGTTTTCGACGGTACGAATACGAAGCCAAATATCCTTATCACACTTCTCAAAACGACGACGACGAGGATCCATTGATGCTCGTGTACCGTGGTCGTCCGAAATCCGTGTCCAATAAGGGCGACGACTCCGACAAGCGCGCATTAGTGTGACCCTTCGTGATCTTGCTCAACTTGAAGCTCCCTAACTTCTCGCAGCATTCCAGTCGGAATTTCTCTCTCTTATCCCATCTTTTATAGACGAGAGCATTGAAGAACGCTTGAAGGGGATTCGTGACAGCCTGACAACGAAGCATTTAGGTTGGAAACAAGCATAAATACAACGCGTAACGTTTCGATACGACCGCGAGCGTGGGTAACTTGGAACTTGACAATCGAGAGTGTACGTACCATTACGTACCAAAGGGTGATGATCGCTTTGACCGGTAACTGAAACCATAGAGTCCACAGTAGGATCCCGTTGATTAAATTCGGCAACCAACACAAGTAATAGGCGACGTTTGTCAAAGCGAATTTCAGTCTTATCGTTTGCACCAATTTTCTCTCTCTGCCCGTTATTTGCGCCAGGCTGCAAGTAACGGCAGTTTGAAGGTCTCGCGACGACGCGAAATACAGCACTGGATTCACGATCATCACCACTGCCAGCAACACGTACGTGGCACAGTAATTCGGCAGGATTCGGAACACAGCAGTGGACAACGAAGTTAAATTATGGCAGCTGGAAAACGTGAAAGTCTCTGTACAATATTTGCAACGTTTCGACGAGTCGGTAATTCTCGTTCTCATTGTCAAACTTTCGACTGACTTTGCGTCGGGTACGTATAAAATCGTCAAGCCAAACGTAGTCAGAATCGCTGGACATATCCAAGCGAAAGCATGGTAACAAGTAGGACGTCCGGATCGATCTCCTAGCAATAGTTTCATATCGATGGCGTAGCAAAGTGTCCAAATCCACGTTGCCATGTAAAAATATTGCGTCCAGGCCTGATCGAGATCGATAAAAGTATAGATTTCAGTTTAATCTCAATCGTCCGGTCAGACTCGACGAACGTACCGATGAGAGTGCACAGAACAGAACGCTCGAAGTGTCGTCTTCCACGGGCATTATAGATTTAAAATTCACCCACAATGCAGATCTGATAAATACACCTGCAACAGATGCGAACCGATGGAACATACGAATAGATTTCTTTTCAACGTTCGAGAGACACGTCGGTAGTAGCGACTAGGAATTACCCATCGACGCTAAGAGGTCCGCGATCGCGAGCCACATAATAATTTCTCTTCCCCTGGACGAGGAGAAGCTTTGCCACCTGTGAGGTAGATCTGACGTTTCTCTCGGAAGTATCTACGAAACACTTGGGTATCAATACTCGACAACGAGTCTTTCTCACGATCACAGACTCTTTTCTTTTTCAATCCTCTTACCTGGTACACCGCGCCTAAAATGCCTATGGAAGAAGAGAGCATGCAGACGGCATTGTAAACGTCCGTGTTAAATTCTTGCATTATTACTATCGCCATGTCCGTTCTGTTCGAATGACGACAACAGAACGTTTGTATCGTTGGATCAGCCATGGTTTATCTCGTCGCTCTCGAAGCGTCGAGCATCAACCATAAATCTAATTAGAACAAAGACGAAGAAGAACCGTTCGGTACGATCGATACGATTATTCAGCTCTGACTTTAGCGCGTTCGATCCGTAGAATCGGACGCGAACGATTCGTCACTATACTTTCGATACAGAATCTGTTTCAGAACGATTCTATCGATCGGTCGACGAATCTACACTCATTTTTATGCAAAAACAAAGCCGTACGCGTACGCGGTTTCTGCCTTTCCGGCGCTTTCCGGCGCTTTCCGGCCACGATCATTGGCGCTCATTCAACTATATACGCCATATTTATAATTCACAGACGTTCGACACGTTCAGGTCCGTGTTACACGAACACGAACATTTCGGCGCGACGTAGCTAGCTGTGTCGCTGTCTATCGCCTGTCATTCGAAGCGATTCGAAGACAGCAGCAGACAGTAAACAGTGACAAACAGAAGTGCAGAAACAGAAAACGGAACGAGAAGAACGAGATCAGATCCGATGCGATCGGTGCGATTGGATCGTACGATCATTGATTAAAATGTCCGTCACCGAAGAGAGGATTCAAGAATTGAACAGGCGATTTCTGGAATTCATGGGTAAAACCGAGAACGTGGAATCGGCTACGAAGGAAATTTACGAGGATCTCCTCGACGAGGTATTGATGGGTTTCGTTTTCGACGTGCATCGAACCACAAAAACTGGCAGCTCAGACATCGAAGAAGGAATACCGGACGACGAGTCGTACGCTATCGTAGGTAAGCGAGACGATGGAACGATGGTTTTAACGTACGACAGACGACGATCGGTCGTTGTCCTTTCAATGATTCAGTCGATTGTATGATATGTTAAAGATTCTCCAGGGTTGGACGTGTTCGGTCAGCATCCTGTAAAAAAATCGCAGGAATGCAACTGTCCGAATTGTGACAGAGGCGTTGCCGCCCGCCGGTTCGCAACGCATTTAGAAAAGTGCATGGGCATGGGTCGGAACAGTTCGCGGATCGCATCGAGGCGTATAGCAAACAATTCGAAGGACCTGAGCAATTTCAGTGGAGTCATAAGCGACGACGACGACGACGTCGATTGGAGCTTGAACAACGACAAGCGTAAGCGTAGGAAGGATCGTAACGGAATGAAAAGGACGAAACAGCAGAAGAACAGTCAAAGGAACGGAGAGAGTGCGAACGAACACGTTCACAGCAGTAACGAGAATTCTCCGTCGAATTACGAGAACATGTCGTTGGAGGACAAACGAATTCTATTGACCCAGATCTGTGGCGTCATATCGGAGCACACGAAAAAGTTGTGTACGAGGTCTATGAGGTGTCCGCAACACACGGAGGACCAACGGAAAGAGATGAGAGCGAATCTAGAGTCGGGGAACAGTGGCCAGCAGTCCGGTCAGGACAATCTTCACGTCGACGTGGACACGTACGAGGAAGGAGACGGCCAAAATCTGAGGGAAGCTCTGGCACGCTGGGATCGCGAAGGATCGAATCACTCGAGTCCGGCAGATTCCACGTCCACTACCTCGACCTCGTCGATAAGCAGAAAACGGGAGACCAAGACGAAAGGCAAGGGCAAAGGATCGAAACGCGACCGCGGATCGCCCATTTCGCAAGGAGATTAAAACGATTCGCTCGTTCGATTCATTCATTTCTCACGTTTCACCAATAAGAATTTTAGAACGGGCGTAGTCACACGACAATAACGTTCCTACGCATCGTACAAAGCTTCGAGAATACATTCTCACATCTTACATCACACGAAGACATCTTTCAATCTACTCGTACATTCCACACTCGACGCGTTTCAAGCGGTAAACGTACACACGTACGTACACGTACGAGAGATCGTTGCCAAAGATCGCGTGTAACGTAGCATCGTCAAACTCGACTTTGTTCCAGAACGTACGTCCTCTTTAATTCTCCTCATATTTTTCATCCACGTATTCGTCTTCTCACTTCAGATTCGCGACCGTCAATGATCAAGCAACTATTACGCTTTCGTTCAACGATTGTAAAAACAACACTGTACGATAATAAATTTTATACGCACAAGCTCGGGACGTATCGATTCCGACGACTCGTTTTTGATTCCGTTCGTCTCCCCTGGCAGTAGAACGTTAAAAAAAAACGTGACAAACCTATCGCGCCTATCGAGTCTCCTCGACAGCGTTCGTCGAACAATTCGAACGCCGCGCCCATCGTCGTGTGCGGCAATGGCAGTCAGTGGCCATGCCACGCCACTATCGCCACTACGCCACTGCCGCTGGCCGATTCCACCGAGGAGAGATTACTAAAGAGTGGCAGCCTTATGGGACCTCGCGGCCCGAAAAGCAGTCTGCAATTTTTGACGCCCGAGTTGACAATTGAGTTTTACCGCTCTGGTGTCGGGTAGTCGAAGTTTCCGCCCAGCTGCGAAGGCTCGAATTTACAGTCGCTTCTGGCACTCGACACTCAGTACTCGAGTGCGTCCCACCAACGTACACACGGTGACGTTTAAAAAAGGAGCGAGAGAAGCGGACGAGCCGCGCAATGGTTTTTCTCCGTGGCGGCTGCTGCCAGTTTGCCGCGCTCGGCCTGACCGACAGTGCGGCGCGCAAGACCGCCTCGCACCGTCGGTAAGGCAGAGCGCGGCGAGCCGGCAGGAACCGCCAGAGACTCCGGTGAATAAAAAGAGAAAGGAAAGGGCATCGGGTAGTGCTATCGGTCTCTGACGACGAAACAGAGAAGAAACAAGAACACCAAGTTCGTTTCTTCTCTTTTTCTATCGACAGGACCATGATGTAAGGAAACAAGGTGTGTTCTCGAGGCAGGCGCGTTTTGACTCGTTCTGCGCATGTAGCCCACTTTCGGCCATATTGTAATATGGCGACGTAATGTTTAAATTTAAAAACACGGCATAATTGAACAATCGATAGATATCGAACAATGACATTGAAAAATGCCATCGTATTTGGTATAATCGTGTAGAAATCGGAGTGGGAACAAGATGAACACAGATATTCAGTTGCATAGATTTCCTGCAGATTCGACACTTGCTGATTCGTGGATGAAAGCTCGTGGAAATGAAAAAATGAACCTAAAAGATGGTAACGTCAATTATCTGTTCCGTAATTCCATAGTGATTTATAAAACATGTCTATAAACAATGTACTAGTGCATGTAGTATCATGTAGTAACATATTGAATATTTCGAATGTGTAATTTCATGTGTAATTTCTGTTCAATAATTACGCGTTTTTTGCGAATTGTGATTGGTTGAAAATCCAATATGGCCGAAGAAGGGCCGAAAATATGATTAGTCGATAATTGGGATGCACTAGAACACACCTTGTTTCCTTACATCATGGACAGGACGTTTGCACCGAGACGCGCGCCTATGTCTGGCCGACTATATCTATACGAACTCTACGGTGAGAGCTCGCTCGGAAACGCGGGAACAAACGAAGAACGGGACAAACGGTAAAATCGCAGACGCGGAAGCAGCCGCCGTTCGCGAGGCGGTACGGCGCGTCGCACCGTCGGTAAGAGAGAGCGCGGCAAAGGGACAGGAGCCGCGAGAGAGGTAGGTTCTGGCGCGAGAAAGGGAGAGACGCGTCACGGTAAGGAACGACCGAGGGGCGAGTGGCGTCGGGGGCAGCGTTCGGTCGAGGGACGAAGGACGCGATCTCTGCCTGGACGGGGGTACGGTTGGGAGGGTGAGGGAAGGCGCAGGAGGGGAAGAGCAGTGGGGCCGGAGAAAGGGAGGAAAAAGAGGGGAAGCGAGTCG